CAGAAAAAACGCAAGTTATACATATCCACAATAAACAAAAATACTTTTAAAATCTTCAGCTTATTTTTAACAACATGCAAATAGATACGGTGTCGTCAGGCAAGTTTTTGGGAATAACGATTGACGAAAGTTTGGATTGGAAGTTGCATTGTGGAGCGGTTGTTTCGAAGTTGAGTTCCATTAACTATCTAATTAGAAATTTAAAATATGTTCTGACGGAAAATCAGCTAATTATGATTTATAATGCACTCGTAGAGTCCAGGCTAAGATACGGGATATGTTTTTGGGGTATGTCTGGTTATGCAAATGGTATTTTCGTCCATGCAAAAGAAAATATTGCGTCGTGTCGCTGGTGTCTCCCGACTAACTAGTTGTAGAGAATATTTTAAAAAATATAAAATTTTAATATTGGCGTGTCTATACATTTTTGAATTATGTGTTTTTATTTTTAATAACTTACATCAGTTTAAAACGAGTGGTGATATGCATAATTTAAATACTAGATATTGTAATAAACTTTATATACCATTTTCAAAAGGTAACATTAAATTTAAATCATTTTTCACTTCTGCCCAGATAAGTTCAATCGGATTGAGCTTACACTGGTATGGAGGCAGTCTTAAAACAATTTTGTATATTTTTTAGGTAGTTAGTGGTACCGTGGTGTCATATGCGACACCACAGACATTTTTTTAATTTATACTAAGAACTCAAAATGAAGTAGAAAAGAACATGTTTATAACAAAAAAATCAAATTTCTTCGGTACAAGTTGGGCAGATTGGTCTTCTGTGTTCGGCACACAGGCAAGCTTGACATCTTTTGTGGGTTAGAGGTTCAGTTTCTTGATTTCTGATTACTGGCTGGTCTTCTTAACCAAGAACATCTAAAATCATGGAGCGCAAAAATCTGGACCAAAGTTGGTACTTCTAATCTCTTTTTTAGTGGCGGAGTCACCAACTGTAGTGCTAAATGTCTAAGCAAATCTTTCCCGGGCGTAATTTTTAAATTTGGATCTGATTTGGTTCTATTTGCGCTATAAATAACATAAGCGTTAATACCTGCACCATCAAGCATGCCATAAAAAACTCTTAAGAGGCCACCGACGAGTTTTTCTAGACACGAATTTAGAATGGCCCAACTGATCATAAGTGTCTACTCCTCCTTTTGTATATATATATATATATATATATATATATATATATATATATATATATATATATATAGTTCAGCCAATCTTGTACCCGCAGCGACTTCAGATCTTCTTTTGCCGACTCCAGCCATTTTCTTCGGGGCGGCCTCTTTTTCTTTTTGTACCAGCCTGCGTGTTTATTAATTCATTGGGAACTCTTCCTTCCTTCATTCTTGCTATATGCCCGAGCCATCTTAATCTTTGAATTTTAGCGAGTCTTGTTATTTTTGGTTTCCCATATATTTGCATTATTTCTTTATTCGTTTTTCTTCGCCAGATGTTCCCCTCTTTTACACCTCCGTATATCCTTCTAAGAATTTTTCGTTCGCATCTATCTAATTTTACTTCCATATCTTTATTTAGTGTCCAGGTCTCGCTAGCATAGAGTACTGTAGGTCGGATAACTGTTGTATATATTCGTTTTTTTGCTGTTCTGGATATTTCTCCTTTTGTATAGTTATAAAATAAAACAATCTCGGACATGCTAGTGTCTTAATCAATTACACCATAAGTATGAAATGTTGACAGCAACAGAAAAAATTTTTTTTAGTTTTGGTGAAAATGATACTAACGTCTTATTCTCGTCAAAAGCAGAGTTAGAACTTGGAACAATTTTTTTCTTTTTAAGAAATTCTGGCGGAATGTCAGACTTGTTTTTTCTTAATGTTACAACCATTGTCAACTTTTTTTGTAAAAGCTTTTCTGCAAGATCTGAGGACGGAAACCAATTATCTAATGTGACATTCCTATTGGTGCCATAGATATTTTTGCATAGGCGAAGAACCTATTGGGTGGACAAAGTTTCTGATGCATGTCGTTTTTTTCCCCACATATGGTATTGCAGAATACATATAAAAAGTCTTAGAGCCGCACAATATAACGATTTTAATTCCATATTTGCCTGGTTTATTTGGAATATAAACTTTAAAAGGACATCTGCCCCGAGACTGAGCAACTGTTCAATTGTCACATATGCGCCAGGAGTGTAATTAGCTTCACAATTTTCAATAAATTCATTCCAAAGAAATCTTATAGGTGCAAATTTATCATCACGTTTCCTTTACTCTCTACTTCTTTTGTCATCAAAACGAAGAAAATAAAAAATTCATAGCGTTTTTGTGACATTGTTGCTCTGAAAATTGGTATTCTAAATTGTTTTGACGATAAATCCGAGGTACTTAGGTAGCTACTTTTTAGATAACCACTCATATATAAAAGACTGATTAATGCCAAAATCTCTTCTTTGTTTGTAACAGTTGTAAAACTTGGAGTTTGACTAAACTTAGTAGATTGTTTAGAGATTTCTTGGTTTGTGTATTGAGTAATATAGTTTATCACTGAGTCGCTCAAAAATAGTTTCAAAGTCAGAATCTCTTCTGGTGTATTTGAAGCTTAAGCCTTTGGACCTGGTAGACGAAGCACCATGTTTTTTTTAAATGTGCGAGTGTTCTTTGAAAAAAACGGAGTTTTATACCACTGAAAACCATTTTTTCCATATACTACTTTTCTTTTTCGATCGCTATCTTTCTGCGAATCTTCACTCTTATCTTCACTAACCTCTGGTTCTGCTAAAATGGTATCAGAATGTATTAACTTTTACTAAGTTCTTTGTCTTCATCCTCACTCAAACATTCAGATTCTGTATTATTTAAAGGGCATCTTCATCACTCTCACCAGTCTCATAAGCACGCACAATTTCTTCTAACTCAGCCTGAGTCAACGCTTTGCTTGTTGAAGCCATTTAGTTCTATATTCAAAATTATAACGGGAATTGTGCTGTGGTGTCGTATGTGACACCGATAAATATTTTACAATAGCGCGCGATAAACTAAAAGAAGTAAAGGTGCTGATAATATAAGCCTCCCCCTCTAGAAACGTGGTGACTGCATCTAATGGAAACTGCGCGGTGTCGCCGGCGACACCAGTGTACTATTCTAGGGTTAACAATAGCTAACAGTTGCACTTTTAATATTGAGTCTTCAAAACCCATATTATTTTATCTCAGCCATGCGAAAAGGACATAAAATTTGTCGAAACATCACTAAATTAAAATATTGGTTTCTCTCACCTTTACCGAAAGGATTACTACAAGCTAATTTTACTTTTGATTAATATCTTTGTTTTTGGATACTAAAAGTTTACTACACACTACAAAACTTATAAAAAATAACACGACCAATAAATAACTCCAAAATCATGTTACGAAACTCAAAATTTTTATAACAAAATATATAAACCAACACACTAGAATTTGAATATAATGAGACTGAACAGTTTGGACCTGTGAAATGACAATCAAGCTCGCTCAGGCTCTTGGCAAATTAGAAGGCGAATATCGTTAGAACACGTGCATGTCAGGCCGTTTATGTTGGGAATTTGCAATGGACAACATTTCACAACAAATTCACGAACAAAAAATAATACCAATCGCACAGAATGAATGTTCATGACCAAAAGTCCTTATTTACAATAAAAAAAAACAACAATATTTCCAACTTCTTATGGGATAGATAACATAGGAATTAGAAATGTTTGGAAAAGTTTTCAAAGTTCTATATCATATTAAAATAAATAGAAAAAAACAGTGAGCAACTTTTCATATTCTAAGTGTTTTTACTTAGCTCTACTAGTAAAAAATGAACACTTTTTATTAAAATACAAATACTGTAAAATATTAAGATAGCAATTGAAGTAAATTTGCACCTGATTTATTGAAATGCAAATACTGAAAAATGTTGTTGTTGTTGATGTTCTCATAGATGTTTCTCACATCTATGAGACAATGGTTAAAACTAGCCTACTTTATGGAGCTGAGACATGGAGAATAACCGAGAAATATAATAAAAAGGTCGAAGCCACGGAAATGGATGCCATCAGAAGATCGATGAGAATATCAAGAGCCGACAGAATACGGAATGAAGTGATAAAACAACACATGGGTATAGAGGGTACTATAGTTGAGGATATGGAGAGAAAACAGCTCATATGGTATGGGCATGTGAGCCGAATGGGGGACGAAAGATTGACTAAAAAAACGATGATGTGGCAACCCCTAGAGAAGAGGAAACGAGGAAGACCACCACAGATTTGGAACCTGGGAGTTAGGAAAGCGATTAGCGCTCGAAATCTGGACGAAGACCTAACTCAAGACAGAATACAGTGGCGTTTGGGAGTCGGACAACGTCGTAAGACGTTATAAAACCGAATATATATATATATATATATATATATATATATATATATATATATATATATATATATATATATATATATATATATATATATATATATATTGAAAAATTTGAAAATAGCAATGAATGTAATGTTTATGATGTTTGCAGATCCAGCAGATGATCCGGAATAAGAAGCAGTTTATTCTACCGGTTTTATTGTCTGCATTTTGAGTTTCATCCTATCATCATCCTTTCATCCTAGTTTTACTGCTACCTGATTATGGTAAGAATTAATGTCAACCTGGGTAGACCTTGCAGTTGATAACCCCATTTTTAAGTACAAACAAAACCTAGTACCCCATTGTAAGTTCAAACAAAGTGTAGTAGAGAATGCATGTTAGTATACACGACATACTGCAAAATGTATCTAAAGTTTTGTTCTTCCTCTTAACACTTACGCAGTATCGCGAACAAAGGACTTCTTAAACTTAACAATATAATAAAATGAATTACTTACGATTGTTAACAACATTTTTACTTAGATTGTCGTTTATGTACAATATTTTGGGCAATTAAATTTTTGATATCTTTGCAGGCTCTACATAATTTGATAAAGATTGTAAATTTGTTTACTTACCAATTTATCTATTGGTTTGGCATATCTCTCGTCATATTCTTTTTCCTCCTCCTCTTCTTCGCTTTCTTCTCCATCTCCGCTGCTACTTCCGCCATTTTCTTCTTCATATAGTTCTAAAAGTTTTGCGAAAATATCGATGGGAGGTTTCCCACAAGGATTTTCTGTAATTTCTTGAGATGTCGAAGTCGATGCAGATGTCGAAGGTTCCTGGGGGCGTAGCAGAGGTGAAGCGGGGTGATTTGACTTAAACCTTTTAACCGAATGCTAAAACGAATTACCATTAAACAATATTTATTGAAAACAATAACACTGTGATGGATTTTACAATGGACCTTGAATTATTTTAATTAGATATTTTAGTTTTATGTAGATTTGGTTTTGTTTTGTTACACTCACAGGCTGTGGTCAGTTCTCAAATACACGTATTTCTGTAATTCATATGTGTTACATAATTTAAGACTATTGTTAGATTATTGTTGAAAGCCTGTGTTTTGTCAAAAATAGTTTTTTAGTATTTCCAGGGAATAATCACACAATATTTAAAAAAATATGATCTATGTAGGGTGACCATAATTTTTCAACAAAAAAAAGTACGTTTATAATTTTTAAGAAAATATATACACGGCTAGTGCCCTAGCCAAAATTTTACGAATCTTTAATGAAACAATGATAACAGCGATTTTTTTAATCAAACATAAGTACATAAAAAATGTATGATAAATTTTAATAGTTAATTTTCTTTCGACGTTCCTTTCTGAACATCTTGATCATCATTTTCGTACCAGTCGTACTTTTTGGAACTATGAATTTCCTTCAGAAGTTTCGGTTTACTCTTTAAGAACTGAAACATTTTATTACACGAAACTTTGAAGTTTGTGTAGACTTGCATGATTGCTTCCAGAGTAGATATTTTCAACTGCGATTTGTTGAGACTCCAATAGTTACTGATATTTGAGAACAACCGCTCAATCGAGGCACTGGTCCCGGCAGACAAAAAACAAACTCACATAGAATTTTGAGATTTTTCAAAGCCCTTTCTTTTTGGAAGATTTCGAGCCATCGATCTTCGGTAGAAATATTGTTCGAATTCCAGTCTGTGGTTTTATTTTCTGTAACGTAGGTTCGTATTAGACTATCAAACAGTTCGTCCTGATTCAATATCGGACCTACGTAGTCTTTGAAAGCCTCACACGACGATAAAATTTCAGCCCAAGAAACTTGTTTTTTTCAAGTTAAGTCATCCAAATAGCTTTAGTTCACTTAAATTTTCACTTCAGTTTTTCAAATACACTGCGTATTTTAAAATTAACGTATAATTTTAAAATTCTTATTTTGAGTTGTAATGAAAAAAATTTTGTTTGTTCTTTTCTGCTTTATGGTTGTTTTAGAACATCTTAAATAAAACTATTCTTTTTTACAAAAAATGTATTGAAATTAACAATATAACATCCTAACATAAATCATAACATCTAAACGAACTGATCTAAACAAACTAACATCATAAATTAATGAAGAAAAAGTTTTTAAAGTTGAAGAAAATACTACTACCGTGTACTAGTATCGAGTATTGCCTCCTCTGGCATTTATTACTGCTTGACAACGATCTCTCATGCTGAGAATAATCGTTCTGATTTCTTCTTGATCAATTTGATCCCAAATTTCAACCAACCGCAAAAACAGTTGATCTAATGTGTTTCGTGCATTAGGTAGTTGTCGTAGTCGTCTGCCTATGATGTCCCAAACATGTTCTATTGGGTTAAGGTCAGGACTTCTCGCAGACCAATCCATGGCAGGAATTCCAACCTCCTGACGATACTGCTGCACAATTCTTGCCGTGTGTGGCCTGGCATTATCTTGCATAAGCACGAAATTCTCCCCAATAAATGGTACAAATGGCACGACATGCTCTTCTAAAATGTCTGTTATATACCTCTGCGATGTAAGCCGACCGTGATTTCTTTTAACTAATTCCGTACGAGCCTCTAAATTAATCCCACACCATACCATTACCGAGCCGCCGCCATACTGTACAGTCCCTACGGTGTTACACTGTGCGTAGCGTTCCCCAGGCCTTCTATACACTCGGTTTCTCCTGTCATCAGAAAAAAGACAGTACCTGGATTCATCGGTGAACAATATTCTTCCCCAATCGTCATTATTCCAATCAACATGTTCACGAGCAAAATTCAATCTTTGCCTTATATGGTCTCTGGTCAATAATGGGCCAATTGGTGCCCTTCCAGGGTGTAGGTCGTTTTCGGCAAGCCTTCTTCTAATTGTATTTTGGCTGATTCTAAAGTTATAACGATCCAAAAATTCATTTTGTAGAGAAGTACTGGAAACAAACCTTTGTCTCAGTGTACGAAGTATCAAAAACCGGTCTTGATTAGGAGTTGTAACCCTTTTACGGCCTTGACCGGGTCTTCTCAAGTTACTTCCAGTAACAGAAAAACGTGTTAACACTATTGAAATTGTTGACTGGGTGACGTTAAAACGTTCAGCGAGTTCTACTTGAGTGTATCCTTCTTCGCGAAGAATAACGATTCTAAAACAGTCACTTTCTGACAAATTTCGATTTTCTTGCTGCGGGTGGTTCATTTCAAAGAAAAAACACTTAATAAACTTAAAAAAAAACCCTTTAAACGTTCAGCACAACGAAATCCAACCCAACTAAATTCGAAATAAAATAAAGCACAATTAGCATGTTTTTAAGTTTTTGCAAAAAAATGATAAAAACATCAGCGTTTTTTACCGTTCTTTCGATAAATTTTACAATGTACCGGGGTAACGATAATATAGTAGCACAAAAATCGAAACATTAAAATTATTTAATTTACCAGGGTTTTTAAAATTATGCGTTAATTTTGGAGCGCAGTATATATTACACAATTTGAATAGAACTGCTTGACATGCGTGATAAAGATATCCCGATAGTTCACACTAAGGTCAAGGTCTTCCATATTTTCAAGTTTTGAAAGGGACTCTCTTACTTTAAGCGGTAAAAATAACTTAAGCAATTTTGAAGCTTATTTATGGGTTCGAAATAATCCAAAGCGGCTTCCGTTGCGCATATTTTGTCACCTTCTACATCTAAAATCATTTTGTGGAAGAACTGTTTTAGAACTGTTGGACTATTATCAATGGACAAAAAATATGCTTTCAAGGGTTCGAACATTTGTATAATTGGTTCAATGCCTGGCATTAGGCTCAAAAATCTTGTTTTTGAAAACGACAACATTTTTTATACTCGATATCAACAAAATCGCAAACCTGTTTTAATTTCTCCACTCTGACTGTAAAAATATAGAAATACTTAAAAATCTTGACCGCAATAACCTCGATGTCTATGGGTAAGACGACCGTCGCATTTTGTAAACAGTTATTAAAAATTTGTACCAGACAACCAATTCCAATCACGGGTTTACCACGAGAAGCATTTAATTTGCTGAATAGATTATTCACTTCTTTTTTTCTCATTCCACCAAAATTTGTATTTGTATTATCAGCAGACATTCCGATGAATTTTTGTAGTAGATTATGGTGATTCAAAACATTGACCACGTAAGCTTTTAATTGCTCTGATGTTTCACCAGGTAGGTCACGTAGCTGAAGTAATTTTACTTGGACACCATTTTCTCCATCAAAATATCTTACCATTAAGGGCACAACTTTAATTTCTCTATGATTCGACGAATCGATTGTGATGCTGACGAAATTTGCTTTTCGAAGGTCAATTTCTAAGTGGATCTCTTGAGCTAAAACATTTTTTACAATCGCCTCAGTCTTGGCTCGAGCTGTCGCAAATTTAGGTTCAAACATGCTTACAATTAGTTTTGACGTGCAGTCTAAGGATCTGAAACATTGCAGGTATGGTAAGCAAAAGTACCTTCCTTGGCAGCAATCAACATATTTTCAGAACTTAAATTTTCTTCTTTTCCAGAACACAGTTTTCCAATTTGCTGCTCTTACTGCGACTATATTACTGCGACCACTGTTAGAAATATCAACATCACTTTTACAAACTTGGCAAAACACAACATGCGGTGAAACATTTGATTTTTGTTTCATAAAAGGATACTCTGCTTGCAACTCGATATTAAAATGGCATTTTCTTCTAGGCGGTGACATGATGAAATTGTTTATTTTCCACACAGCACAAAATAATATAAAAAACGAGAAAAAGTGTCGGAATTTAAGACAAAAGGTTAATAGACTAATCAACAGTGAGCGCATCAATTCGAATCATAATTATATTTTGTTTGGACAAAAAGTAATACTTAATTTTGTGTAACTAAGAAAAAGAGTACATGTAGGTGTACTTCATAAATTATACAAATAAGTAAAGTACAGTAGGACAGCGTTTGAAAAGAAAGTACTGTCCTACTAAAAAAAAGTACATATGGGCACCCAATCTATATGTCTATTGATTACCCGTACTTGATCCGCCACGTATGTACAATGTAAATAGTCAACGTTGACTGACAGTCTACTTTTTGACAGACTAGAAAATGCTAAAGTAATATAAACTAAAATGTTGAAGTATTTTATCGTTTTTATAAGATGTAAATAAAACTATTTATGAAAGAATAAACTAAAAAGTTGATAAATCTAAATTAATTTTGTTTTGTTTAAAGTTGAAACATTCGGTCGTTGAGCATGCTTTCTATTAAACGAGCTATTTGCTTACAGGGGATTGCACGGAGAATTTTGTATATAAGGCCCTCTCTCCATACTGTATCGTAAGCTGCCGAGAGATCAATAAATGCCGCTGAAGTTTTAAGTCTTCTTTGGAAACCCGCTTCGATGTAGGTGGTGAGTGACATTACCTGGTCCGCGCAACTTCGTTCTGGTCGAAAACCCGCTTGTTCGACTGGGATCACCTGGAACAGTTCTGTACTGATTCTATTATATATAAGCCTCTCTAATAGTTTGTAGATGGCAGAGAGAAGCGCAATTGGTCTGTAGTTTTTTGGGTTGTCAGCGGGTTTGCCTGGCTTTAGTATGGCTATTATCTTAGAGCGCTTTAGTTCTTGTGGGATATTTCCAGTTTCCATGATGTCTGTGAAAAATCGAACCAGCCAAACTTTTGTATACTTGCCACAATTTAGTAGGAATTCAGGGTGAATATTTTCAAATCCTGGCGCTTTTGCTGGCTTAACGTCTTTAAGAACCTCTGATATGTCTTCGCTAGTGAGGTGGAGGGAATGCTCCGTTTCTGTGGCTACATTATTTGAAGTTTTAAGTTCTCTTTTTACGTAGATGGT